GTTCCCCTGCAGCAGTACGTTCCCTTCCTGGGTCTGCAGGTACGTTCCCCTTCCTGGGTCTGCAGGTACGTTCCCCTTCCTGGGTCTGCAGGTACGTTCACCTTCCTGGGTCTGCAGGTACGTTCCCCTTCCTGGGTCTGCAGGTACGTTCCCCTTCCCGGGTCTGCAGGTACGTTCCCCTTCCTGGGTCTGCAGGTACGTTCCCCTTCCCTTCTGCCGGTCTGCAGTACGTTCCCCTTCCGGGTCTGCAGGTACGTTCCTCCCGGGTCTGCAGGTACGTTCCCCTTCCCGGGTCTGCAGGGTACGTTCCCCTTCCCGGGTCTGCAGGTACGTTCCCCTTCCTGGGTCTGCAGGTACGTTCCCATTCCCGGGTCTGCAGGTACGTTCCCCTTCCTGGGTCTGCAGGTACGTTCCCCTTCCCGGGTCTGCAGGTACGTTCCCCTTCCCGGGTCTGCAGGTACGTTCCCCTTCCCGGTCTGCAGGTACGTTCCCCTTCCTGGGTCTGCAGGTACGTTCCCGGGTCTGCAGGTACGTTCCCCTTCCCGGGTCTGCAGGTACGTTCCCCTTCCCGGGTCTGCAGGTACGTTCCCCTTCTTGGGTCTGCAGGTACGTTCCCCTTCCCCCCCTTCTTGGGTCTGCAGGTACGTTCCCCTTCCTGGGTCTGCAGGTACGTTCCCCTTCTTGGGTCTGCAGGTACGTTCCCCTTCCCCTTCCCCGGGTCTGCAGGTACGTTCCCCTTCCTGGGTCTGCAGGTACGTTCCCCTTCTTGGGTCTGCAGGTACGTTCCCCTTCCTGGGTCTGCAGGTACGTTCCCCTTCCCCGGGTCTGCAGGTAGGTACGTTCTGCAGGTACGTTCCCCTTCCCTGCAGGTTTCCCCTTCCTGTCTGCAGGTACGTTCCCCTTCCTGCAGGTCGTGCAGGTACGTTCCCCTTCCTGGGTCTGCAGGTACGTTCCCCTTCTTGGGTCTGCAGGTACGTTCCCCTTCCTGGGTCTGCAGGTACAGGTTCCCCTTCCGGGTCTGCAGGTACGTTCCCCTTCCCTGGGTCTGCAGGTACGTTCCCCTTCTTGGGTCTGCAGGTACGTTCCCCTTCCGGGTCTGCAGGTACGTTCCCCTTCCCGGGTCTGCAGGTACGTTCCCTTTCCTGGGTCTGCAGGTACGTTCCCCTTCCTGGGTCTGCAGGTACGTTCCCCTTCCTGGGTCTGCAGGTACGTTCCCTTCCTGGGTCTGCAGGTACGTTCCCTTCCTGGGCAGGTCTGCAGGCAGGTACGTTCCCCTTCCTGGGTCTGCAGGTACGTTCCCCCTTTCCTGGGTCTGCAGGTACGTTCCCCTTCCTGGGTCTGCAGGTACGTTCCCCTTCCCCTTTCCTCCTGGGTCTGCAGGTACGTTCCCTTTCCTGGGTCTGCAGGTACGTTCAACCTTCCTGGGTCTGCAGGTACGTTCCCCTTCCCGGGTCTGCAGGTACGTTCCCCTTCTTGGGTCTGCAGGTACGTTCCCCTTCCTGGGTCTGCAGGTACGTTCCCCTTCCTGGGTCTGCAGGTACGTTCCCCTTCCCGGGTCTGCAGGTACGTTCACCTACAGAGACCTGCACCTCATACCTGTCTGCATCTTTCAGTTTTCTGTAATTGCACCCCCCCCCCTCCGTATTGTATCACCCCGATGTACCCCCCCTGTAGTCAATCACCCGAATGTACCCCCCCCCCCATATTGCATCACCCCCTTGTACCCCCCCCCCCCCCCCCTATGGTATAACCCTTTGTAAAGTCTGCTCTACCGTCAGTGGTCCTCTGACCTTCATTGGTCTCTTCAAGGCTTCCTGGATATCGACTCGTTTCCTCATTATGGTTTGGTCCAATTTCCTTTCAAAAGCCAAGAGATCCATGTAAGCCTGAGACTCCGGAACCAACTCCCGAATCTGGGGGAAGACAATAGGGAGTGAGGTCCCTGCGGATCCGACAATAGGGAGTGAGGTCCCTGCGGATCCGACAATAGGGAGTGAGGTCTCTGCGGATCCGACAATAGGGAGTGAGGTCCCTGCGGATCCGCGGACAATAGTGAGTGAGGTCCCTGCGGATCTGACAATAGGGAGTGAGGTCTCTGCGGATCCGACAATAGGGAGTGAGGTCTCTGCGGATCCGACAATAGGGAGTGAGGTCCCTGCGGATCCGACAATAGGGAGTGAGGTCCCTGTGGATCCGACAATAGGGAGTGAGGTCCCTGCGGATCCGACAATAGGGAGTGAGGTCTCTGCGGATCCGACAATACGGAGTGAGGTCCCTGCGGATCCGACAATAGGGAGTGAGGTCCCTGCGGATCCGACAATAGGGAGTGAGGTCCCTGCGGATCCGACAATGGGAGGTCCCTGCGGATCCGACAATAGGGAGTGAGGTCCCTGCGGATCCGACAATAGGGAGTGAGGTCCCTGCGGATCCGACAATAGGGAGTGAGGTCCCTGCGGATCCGACAATAGGGAGTGAGGTCCCTGCGGATCCGACAATAGTGAGTGAGGTCTCTGCGGATCCGACAATAGGGAGTGAGGTCCCTGCGGATCCGACAATAGTGAGTGAGGTCTCTGCAGATCCGACAATAGGGAGTGAGGACCCTGCGGATTCCGACAATAGGGAGTGAGGTCCCTGCGGATCCGAGGGGCGCACAGGAGTCACCCCTGAGGAGAAGGACATTATATCTCGCCATCTAGGACATGCAGGCCATATAAATCACAACTCTTCTAGAGGACACAAAACTGTCAGCCAACCAACACTTGGCATTAATCCGAACAATCCATCCGATTCTAGCCAATCCGATCATCCATACAAATCTAACCAATCCAACAATCAATCCGAATCTAGCCAATCCGAATAATCATCCGAATCTAGCCAATCATCTGAATCAGCCAATCCGATCATCGAATCTAGCCAATCCGAACAATCACCGAATCTAGCCAATCCGAACAATCCGAATCCGAATCTAGCCAATCCGATCATCCATTCGAATCTAGCCAATCCGAACAATCCGAACAAATCCGATCATCCATTACGAATCTAGCCAATCCGAACAATCATCCGAATCTAGCCAATCCGATCATCCATACGAATCTAGCCAATCCGAACAATCATCCGAATCTAGCCAATCCGATCATCCAAATACCAATGTGAATCTAATCTAGCCAATCCGAACAACAAATCAACCAATCAATCAAATCTAGCCAATCCGATCATCCATCCAAATCTAACCAATGTGAACAATCATCCGAATCTAGCCAATCCGATCATCCATACAAATCTAACCAATCCGAACATCCATACGAATTTAGCAAATCCGATCATGTATATGAATCCGAACAATCATCCTCATCATGTGACGGAAGTGTGTGGGGTGGAGGAAATCCTCATTGTGACGGGAGTGACCTTTGGGGTGGGGGGGACCCCTGTATCATCTCCCCAAATTCTTATGTGTAAGTGCCCCAGTGCCTGCTGGGTACAGGGTGTGAATGTCTATTGTGTATTGGTGTGTCGTCCTTTGTTCTCGACCAAAAGGCTGTCTATTGTCCTTGCCATGTGCTGCCCCTTTGTTCTATGTCTTGGTTGGATGGGGAGGGGTGATGATGTGTTTTCTGTAGCCCTCCCCACTGATGGGGCGGGCTGATGATGTGTTTCCTGTAGCCCTTCCCACTGTTGGGGCAGGCTGATGATGTGTTTCCTGCAGCCCTTCCCCACTGATCGGGCAGGCTGATGATGTGTTTCCTGTAGCCCTCCCCACTGATGGGGGGGTGATGATGTGTTTCCTGTAGCCCTCCCCACTGATGGGGCGGACTGATGATGTGTTTTCCTGTAGCCCTCCCCACTGATGGGGCGGGCTGATGATGTGTTTCCTGTAGCCCTCCCCACTGATGAGGCGGGCTGATGATGTGTTTCCTGTAGCCCTCCCCACTGATGAGGCGAGCTTATGTTTGTGTTTCCTGTAGCCCTCCCCACTGATGGGGCGAGCTGATGTTGTGTTTCCTGTAGCCCTCCCCACTGATGGGGCGAGCTGATGTGTGTTTCCTGTAGCCCTCCCCACTGATGGGGCGAGCTGATGTTGTGTTTCCTGTAGCCCTCCCCATTTGATGGGGAGGGGTGATGATGTTTTCCTGTAGCCCTCCCCAGTGGTGGGGCGGGGTGATGATGTGTTTCCTGTAGCCCTCCCCACTGATGGGGCGGACTGATGATGTGTTTCCTATAGCCCTCCCCACTGATGGGGCGGCTGATGATGTGTTTGCTGCAGCCCTTCCCACTAATTGGGAGGGGTGATGATGTGTTTCCTGTAGCCCTTCCCACTGACGGGGAGGGGTGATGATGTGTTTCCTGTAGCCCTTCCCACTGATAGGGTGGGCTGATGATGTGTTTCCTGTTCCTGGTTGTGTTTCCCCGCCCTCTGTATATAACTTGTTTGTGTAAAATAAAAGAGCTGACTTCCTGTTTTGAGAAGAGTCGGGTGCTGTCTATTTCCTGAGGGATTTCAGGGTGTGGTCTGTGGTTGGAGTTCGGACAGGGAACCTGCGGTATAACGGAATATACCCAAGTGCGGTCGGGTACCGGTTCCCTTACACTCATCATGTGATGGAAGTGTGTGGGGTGAAGGGAATCCTCACATGACGGAAGTGTGGGGTGGAGGGAATCCTCCTCACATGACAGAAGTGTGTGGGGTGGAGGGAATCCTCCTCACGTGACGGAAGTGTGTGGGGTTGAGGGAATCCTCACGTGACGGAAGTGTGTGGGGTCCTCATCAGAAGGGTGGGGTGGAGGGAATCCTCCTCACGTGACGTCAGTGACAGAAGTGTGTGGGGTGGAGGGAATCCTCCTCACGTGACGGAAGTGTGGGGGGAGGAGGGAATCCTCCTCACATGACGGAAGTGTGGGGTGGAGGGAATCCCCCTCACATGACGGAAGTGTGGGTTGGGGGGAATCCCCCTCACGTGACGGAAGCGTGGTGTGGAGGGAGGAGTACTCCGGGTATTACCCTCTGTGGTAGGATCTTGTCCGCCATCTTTCTTCTCTTGGCGCTGGACATGTAGGAGGAAACAAATGGAAATTAATAAACTCCAGGGAAGGATTCCCTCTTCCATACAAACCACGCGTGTCTCACCTTCGGCTCCGCCCCTGAGAAGGTGTGTTTTGCTGAACCTGGGGTGGTGCTGATCGTTTTCTGGTTGGTTCCATTACAGTTGGAGGGATTCCGGGACGGACTGATGGACTTCCACCAAACGGAGGACCTGGGGGGCCCATGGGAGCACCTTGATGAGGCATTCGGGCCCCAGAGGGCATCCCAGGGCGCTAAAGCAGAGAAGGCCAGTGATTGGTTTACAACACAGACAGGGAAAAGATATGACTTCATTTACAAATCAAGCGAACATTTCCCGCACTATCAGGTCTACAGGAAGTAGTATTAAATCTGGGGGGGAGCGAGGATCAGACATGAACGATGGATGAGGGGGGGAGGGGGAGGATCAGACATGAACGATGGATGAGGGGGGGGGGGGAGCGAGGATCAGACATGAATGATGGATGAGGGGGGGGGAGCGAGGATCAGACATGAACGATGGATGAGGGGGGAGCGAGGATCAGACATGAACGATGGATGAGGGGGGGGGAGCGAGGATCAGACATGAACGATGGATGAGGGGGGAGGATCAGACGTGAACGATGGATGATGGGGGGGGGGGGGGGGGGGCGAGGATCAGACATGAACGATGGATGAGGGGGGGAAGGATCAGACTGAACGATGGATGACGGGGGGGGGGCGAGGATCAGACATGAACGATGGATGAGGGGGGGAGGATCAGACATGAACGATGGATGAGGGGGGGAGGATCAGACATGAACGATGGATGAGGGGGGGAGGATCAGACATGAACGATGGATGAGGGGGGGGCGAGGATCAGACATGAACGATGGATGACGGGGGGGGGCGAGGATCAGACATGAACGATGGATGAGGGGGGGGGATCAGACATGAACGATGGATGAGGGGGGGAGGATCAGACATGAACGATGGATGAGGGGGGGAGGATCAGACGTGAACGATGGATGAGGGGGGGGGGGGGGGGGGGCCAGGATCAGCCATTAACGATGGATGAGGGGGGAAGGATCAGACGTGAACGATGGATGAGGGGGGGGGCGAGGATCAGACATGAACGATGGATGAGGGGGGGAGGATCAGGGATGGATGAGGGGGGGAGGATCAGACATGAACGATGGATGAGGGGGGGGGAGCGAGGATCAGACATGAACGATGGATGACGGGGGGGGGGGCGAGGATCAGACATGAACGATGGATGACGGGGGGGGGGGCGAGGATCAGACATGAACGATGGAATGAGGGGGGGGCGAGGATCAGACATGAGCGATGGATGACGGATGGGGGGGGGGGGGCGAGGATCAGACATGAACGATGGATGACGGGGGGGGGGGGGTGGGCGAGGATCAGACATGAGCGATGGATGACGGGGGGGGGGAGGATCAGACATGAACGATGGATGAGGGGGGGGGGGCGAGGATCAGACATGAACGATGGATGAGGGGGGAGGATCAGACATGAACGATGGATGACGGGGGGAGGATCAGACATGAACGATGGATGACGGGGGGGGGGGAGCGAGGATCAGACGTGAATGATAAATGAGGGGGGAGGAGAGGAAACTCCGAACAGAAGAGATCCCACTAGGAGGAGAAGAGAGAAGAGATCCCACAAGGAGGAGAAGAGAGAAGAGATCCCACAAGGAGGAGAAGAGATCCCACAAGGAGGAGAAGACAGAAGAGATCCCACAAGGAGGAGAAGAGATCCCACAAGGAGGAGAAGAGATCCCACAAGGAGGAGAAGACAGAAGAGATCCCACAAGGAGGAGAAGAGATCCCACAAGGAGGAGAAGAGAGAAGAGATCCCACTAGAAGGAGAAGAGATCCCACAAGGAGGAGAAGAGATCCCACAAGGAGGAGAAGACAGAAGAGATCCCACAAGGAGGAGAAGAGATCCCACAAGGAGGAGAAGAGAGAAGAGATCCCACTAGAAGAGAAGAGATCCCACAAGGAGGAGAAGAGATCCCACAAGGAGGAGAAGAGATCCCACAAGGAGGAGAAGAGAGAAGAGATCCCACTAGAAGGAGAAGAGATCCCACAAGGAGGAGAAGAGATCCCACAAGGAGGAGAAGAGATCCCACTAGGAGGAGAAGAGATCCCACTAGGAGGAGAAGAGATCCCACTAGGAGGAGAAGAGATCCCACAAGGAGGAGAAGAGATCCCACAAGGAGGAGAAGAGATCCCACTAGGAGGAGAAGAGATCCCACTAGGAGGAGAAGAGAGAAGAGATCCCACAAAGGAGGAGAATAGAGAGAGATCCCACTAGGGAGAAGAGATCCCACAAGGAGGAGAAGAGATCCCACAAGGAGGAGAAGAGATCCCACAAGGAGGAGAAGAGATCCACAAGGAGGAGAAGAGATCCCACAAGGAGGAGAAGACAGAAGAGATCCCACAAGGAGGAGAAGAGATCCCACAAGGAGGAGAAGAGAGAAGAGATCCCACTAGAAGGAGAAGAGATCCCACAAGGAGGAGAAGAGATCCCACAAGGAGGAGAAGACAGAAGAGATCCCACAAGGAGGAGAAGAGATCCCACAAGGAGGAGAAGAGAGAAGAGATCCCACTAGAAGGAGAAGAGATCCCACAAGGAGGAGAAGAGATCCCACAAGGAGGAGAAGAGAGAAAGAGATCCCACTAGAAGGAGAAGAGATCCCACAAGGAGGAGAAGAGATCCCACAAGGAGGAGAAGAGATCCCACTAGGAGGAGAAGAGATCCCACTAGGAGGAGAAGAGATCCCACTAGGAGGAGAAGAGATCCCACTAGGAGGAGAAGAGATCCCACAAGGAGGAGAAGAGATCCCACAAGGAGGAGAAGAAGAGAGCCCACTAGGAGGAGAAGAGATCCCACTAGGAGGAGAAGAGATCCCACTAGGAGGAGAAGAGATCCCACTAGGAGGAGAAGAGATCCCACAAGGAGGAGAAGAGATCCCACAAGGAGGAGAAGAGATCCCACATGGAGGAGAAGACAGAAGAGATCCCACAAGGAGGAGAAGAGATCCCACAAGGAGGAGAAGAGATCCCACATGGAGGAGAAGAGATCCCACATGGAGGAGAAGAGATCCCACATGGAGGAGAAGAGATCCCACAAGGAGGAGAAGAGATCCCACAAGGAGGAGAAGAGATCTTACAAGGAGGAGAAAGAGAGAAGAGATCCCACAAGGAGGAGAAGAGATCCCACAAGGAGGAGAAGAGATCCCACAAGAGGAGAAGAGATCACACAAGGAGGAGAAGAGATCCCACAAGGAGGAGAAGAGATCCCACAAGGAGGAGAAGAGATCCCACAAGGAGGAGAAGAGATCACACAAGGAGGAGAAGAGATCCCACAAGGAGGAGAAGAGATCCCACAAGGAGGAGAAGAGATCACACAAGGAGGAGAAGAGATCCCACAAGGAGGAGAAGAGATCCCACAAGGAGGAGAAGAGATCACACAAGGAGGAGAAGAGATCCCACAAGGAGGAGAAGAGAGAAGAGATCCCACAAGGAGGAGACACAAAGAATGAACACAGAGGAGCCAGAAACCATCAGAGACTAACAGCCTGGATGAGATCCTCGGGGGAGGAGCTTACACTGGAGATCAGGATGACACTGGGAGAAGAGAAGATCTGATAGAGAGGAAGAAAGTAGAGAGGAGAACCATATAGAGGGGAAGAATGAGAGAGGAGCATAGAGGGGAATGAGAATGAGAGAGGAGCATAGGGGGGAAGAATGAGAGAGGAGCATAGAGGGGGAAGAATGAGAGAGGAGCATAGGGGGGAAGAATGAGAGAGGAGCATAGGGGGGAAGAATGAGAGAGGAGCATAGGGGGGAAGAATGAGAGAGGAGCATAGGGGGGAAGAACGAGAGAGGAGCATAGGGGGGAAGAATGAGAGAGGAGCATAGGGGGGAAGAATGAGAGAGGAGCATAGTGGGGGGAAGAATGAGAGAGGAGCATAGGGGGGAAGAATGAGAGAGGAGCATAGGGGGGAAGAATGAGAGAGGAGCATAGGGGGGGAAGAATGAGAGAGGAGCATAGGGGGGAAAAGAAGAATGAGAGAGGAGCATAGGGGGGAAGAATGAGAGAGGAGCATAGGGGGGAAGAATGAGAGAGGAGCATAGGGGGGAAGAATGAGAGAGGAGCATAGGGGGGGGGGAAGAATGAGAGAGGAGCATAGTGGGGGGAAGAATGAGAGAGGAGCATAGGGGGGAAGAATGAGAGAGGAGCATAGGGGGGAAGAATGAGAGAGGAGCATAGGGGGAAGAATGAGAGAGGAGCATAGGGGGGGAAGAATGAGAGAGGAGCATAGGGGGAAGAATGAGAGAGGAGCATAGGGGGGAAGAATGAGAGAGGAGCATAGGGGGAAGAATGAGAGAGGAGCATAGGGGGGAAGAATGAGAGAGGAGCATAGGGGGGAAGAATGAGAGAGGAGCATAGAGGGGGAAGAATGAGAGAGGAGCATAGGGGGGAAGAATGAGAGAGGAGCATAGGGGGGAAGAATGAGAGAGGAGCATAGGGGGGGAAGAATGAGAGAGGAGCATAGGGGGGGAAGAGAATGAGAGAGGAGCATAGGGGGAAGAATGAGAGAGGAGCATAGGGGGAAGAATGAGAGAGGAGCATAGGGGGGAAGAATGAGAGAGGAGCATAGGGGGAAGAATGAGAGAGGAGCATAGGGGGGGAAGAATGAGAGAGGAGCATAGGGGGGAAGAATGAGAGAGGAGCATAGGGGGAAGAATGAGAGAGGAGCATAGGGGGAAGAATGAAGAGAGGAGCATAGGGGGGAAGAATGAGAGAGGAGCATAGGGGGGAAGAATGAGAGAGGAGCATAGGGGGAATGAAGAAGAGAAGGAGCAGGAGGGGGGGGGAAGAATGAGAGAGGAGCATAGGGGGAAGAATGAGAGAGGAGCATAGGGGGGAAGAATGAGAGAGGAGCATAGGGGAAGAATGAAAAGAAAAAAGAGAGGAGCATAGGGGGGGAAGAATGAGAGAGGAGCATAGGGGGGAAGAATGAGAGAGGAGCATAGGGGGGAAGAATGAGAGAGGAGCATAGGGGGGAAGAAAATGAGAGAGGAGGCAAGGGGGGAAGAATGAAGAGAGGAGCATAGGGGGGAAGAATGAGAGAGGAGTGCATAGGGGGGGAAGAAATGAGAGAGGAGCATAGGGGGAAGAATGAGAGAGGAGCATAGGGGGGAAGAATGAGAGAGGAGTATAGGGGGCAAAAATGAGAGAGGAGCAAAGGGGGAAGAAGAGAGAGGAGCATAGGGGAGAGAAGAGGGGGAATGAGAGAGGAGCATAGGGGGGAAGAATGAGAGAATGATGCATAAAGGATGGGAAGAA